AATACTCAATCAGCAGTGAAGAAGACTCCTTCATTCACCACAACGCAGATATCAAGCACGTGTTCGTGTTTGGGTGGACACATGATGCGTGCAACGCCCCTCTCCACTGAGGAACACTACTGCAATGCACCCCACAAACACAGTTTCATTCTTTTATTTTTTATTCCTTTGATTTCATCCACATCGTTCCAACTGGTTGTACAGTTCATTTTTATTTGACACTGCTTTCTTTTCTGTTCCGTATTAAAAGAAGCAACAAAGAAACAATCCCATTCCCTTTCCATCATGCACACAAATGTTAACATTCACAAAGGGTCTCCTGGTGGGTCCACCATCTCCCCTCCTTTCCCCTTCAGGCACTAGAGAAATCCATCGCAAGAGAGGTGACAGTGCAACAGACAACACACACTTTCGTCTCTGCATTGCCTCAATACTACTCCTCTCCTCATCATCACCATCAGTGTGCAATAAAGCAAAAAAGAACAACAACACTGACTATTCACAAAAACAGCAACACAAACTTTATTTTATTTTGCATCACACCCTGTGTGCAAGAAAAACACAACCCAAGTGAAAAATACAAACCACACCAAAGGAGTTACACCATCGTAGAGCAGCAGCATCGTTGTTGCTTCTATTGCAATGTGGGAAAGAATATGCCCACACACACCGTAGAGTGGACACAACGTTAAATGGGTTAGGGCATTACACTCTAGTCCCACGAAAAGGGAAAAGAGAGCAATAGTTGTATATCTGGATTCGTGTCCATCCATTTTTAAAGAAATGGGAAAAGTAAAAAACACAAAACCCTCAACAGGCTTTGGGGGTACGCCATTCTTCTTTGCTAAAATCATGGAAATGCTTCTCCTTTCCGCAGTGATAGTTTCTTTCACGCAGACACAGCCATCCCAAAAGGGAATTACGCAAACATTGGGTGATCTTCTTTACTAGTACGACTCACCGGTTGGCAGAAGAGGCATTGTGAAATAGAAAAGGGCCTATTGATTCAAGGGGTCTCAATCTGTGCACATTGTGTGGGTTCCCAAATGGCCCCTACACGATCACCAAAAGATTTCTCCGGGCCATTCCCAAGCAATTCGCCACACAAATNCAACAACACTGACTATTCACAAAAACAAAAACATAAACATTATTTTATTTTATTTTTCTTGCATCACACCCTGTGTGCAAGAAAACACAACCCAAGTGAAAAATACAAACTACACCAAAGGAGTCACACCATCGTAGAGCAGCATTGTTGCCTCTATTACAATGTGGAAAAGAATATGCCCCCACACACCGTAGAGTGGACACAACGTTAAATGGGTTAGGGCATTACTCTCTAGTCCCACGAAGAGGAAAAGAGAGCAATAGTTGTATATCTGGATCCATGCCCATCCGTTTGTAGAGAGATGGGAAAGGAAAAACGCAAACCCTCAACAG